GCATTCCGGCATGCCTGCCTCATGGAACTTTTATTCTGGGGGGTACAAATTAACTTTCCATGACAAAACTGCAGTAGAGCAGGTGTGTGACTTGGTCTGCCTTTGGCTTTCTTCTGCCACATTGGTGGGCTCTGGCTGTTTCTGGGGTTTGCCCAGAGCTTCTGCAGAGGTGAGGGAGAGCAGCAAGAGCCCAGGGCGGCTGTCGCTGCCCGCGGGCAGCTGGCTGCAGCCCCCCGGCCCAGGCCGAATGCATTGCCACCCACGTCTGCCGCTGCGGATTCCTCCTGGGATCTCTGCAGCAGGGTTTCACACACGCACCTCTTCTTTCTCCACTCAGTACCCAGGGGACTACGAGGGTGACTCCACAGGAACCGTCACGGCTGAACCACCTCACTCTGCTTTGTCCTGGTAGAAATTGTACTTAGTTCACTATTACAGCGTTTAGCTCAACTTAAAAGGGAATGAAAACCTCTACCTCCTTTCTTGCTCCAAGAAAGTAACTTCCCTGTACCTTCTTGAAGGAACGAGTTAGATGGGATAAAAAAGCCTACTCTATTTTCTCCAGGATCCCAGGCATCAAGCCCTGCTCCGTGTCAGTTTACTGCATGCACTTGGGATGTGATGGACCCTTTTTTCTCCTGCTGCTCGGTAGTTACGCAGTGAGGCGTTGTCGCTGTCACCCAAGCCTCCCGACTTCTTGCCTTTGGCCCTGCCACCAGCTCAGGGCAGCGCGAGCCTGAGGGCAGGCGAAGGCACGCGCTGCCCCGTGACCCACGCCGTGGGGATGTGAGCAGCCCCTTGGTGCCTGCACCCTCAGGTCAGCACCCGCACGCTGGTTTCGGAGCTATGCGAGCTCAGGTCCCTTATAAAAAAACCATCATCCAGGAAAGGCAGCGTCAGCTTTCCTGGCGGGGCCTCCAGAACAGGAGGGGAGCAGGAGGCAGTCGTGCCAAGACTTTGCCCGGTGGCACTGCGGCAGGAGTTGTGCGCTTGGCACAACCAAGGGGTCAGTGCTCAAAATGTCATCTCCATTGGGGTCCAAACTAACCCACAGCCTGCTACGGAGCAGCCCAAATGGTAAATAACCTTCTGTGGCCTTGAGAAATTCACTTAACTATAGAGGCTGGAGGCTGCACGCATTTCAAATGTGCGTGGTAACAAAAATCACAATACTCAATGTCTTATTGTGAGGGTTAACTAATATACAAATGGTGAATGTACCAAATCTCCCCCAGATGGTAAATCCACTGAGGTTCCTACTTCCTCACTCTGTGACACATAAATTTTAAAGCATCTGAAATTAAAACATATATTTAAAATAGCTGTTTATTTTCTCTTTGGTTTCACAATCTGTGAGGGGAAAAAATAGCCAGTTACTGACTGTCCTGGAAGAGTTACTCAGATGTTCAGTTACCCAGAATAGATGCTCTGCTTCTGCTTTCCTTGGAAATCCTCAAGAAAAGTGATAACAAAAATTCCTCCCTATTGAAAAGTCAGCAGTCAGTGGACTTTACACTAAGGATAATGAATTCTTCCACTATGCTTCCAAACATACACCGCAGTGCACAGAGAACTTACTAGGATCCCAAGGTACGGGATCTGAGGAACATGTTTGAAATCAAGCACTAGCAGTAGCCTTGCCCCAGAAGTTCAGCCAGATGTTAGCTCTTTAGGGAGACTTAACGATGCTGCTGCTTTCCCAAGTCTTGAGAGATGCTCGCTGCTCCCATCGCGTCTCTCCCGACCTGTGCTGCCCAGATGGCCTTTTGGGAGCGGGGTTTCCCACTGAACACAATGCGGAGGCAAGCACCGTTGCTAATGTGGTTTGTAGGCAGGCACACTTCCTTTGTGGCAGGAATGAATATAGTTAAGAAATGGTGTGGGAAACTCGGAGGTACACAGACTTCCACAGCCTTATGTTAGTCAGTCAGTTAGAACGCTAAAACGCTTGGGAGCAGGGATGGAGCGATGCTTCTGAATAGAGAATGGGAAAGACAGCAAAAGGTAGGAGACTCGAGTCGTGCCAAGCCCTGCAGATCATCCGGAGGTGAGAAATAAAATGAGTCCAAGCCTAAGGGCCCTACTTGGATCCTCACTGAAGCCGACAGAAACTTTGGACTCCATGAAGAGTGGAGCAGGCTGCTGGACTCTACCTCCAGAGCTATTTCCTCATCTCCCATAAACTGGTATAGATACAAATTACCTCTACACCTATGGCAGAATTTGTCAAAACTGTAATCAGCAAAACCTGAGCCTGAGTTTTCACCTGCCAAATGCGGGACTCTGGTCTGGTGTTTCCCATTCCTTTCATCCAAGCAACACAAAATAGTTTAGAAGTATTAATGAAAAGCTTCCCCATAATATTACTGGTAGAAAACCTGATCTAATTGTCTCAAAAGCCAAGCCCAGCTCCTACAGCTCAGTAGGGGTTGTAGGAAAGTCTCACGATATCCTCGTGGTCCACAGGAGCCATCTGTGTCCCTCCGCACTGTGCAGCAAGGAGACACAAAAATCCCGTTGCAGATCCGCGGTGGTGGCTGCCCGGCTGTGGTTCAGGGCTCCGTACTTCCACCCCCGCTCAAGGCGAGCGCACCAACCAACACGTGGAGCTCGGGAATCGGCGCCCTGCGGTACCGGTGCGGGTGACGGGCTGCGGTGGGTGCCCTCGCACTCGGGCAGGCCGGCCTTCGATAACAAGAATGGAGAGCAAGC